TTGGGGTCGCTGATTACGAATCTGAAGTCCCAATCCGAAAATTCCTGAATAAGAGATGGCAGGTCCAATATGGCGGATGTAAAAATCGGAAAAGCATCCAAAATTTGAAAGTTATGGCTGAAACTGCTTTTATGGGTGGTTTTCAATGTCGCTAGTCACGAACATAAGGTTTTAATTAGGAAATTCTTAAATCCAATGTGGCGGATTGAAAAGTACCATAGAACTTGATATTTACCACCCAAAGAAATGCGTTAAGAATGTTTAAAAAATTTAGTCATTTGAGTAAAAATATGCAAACAGAAACAAGAAATATAAATTTGGTTTGCAGTCTGTTGTCTTAGAGAATTTTTCGTGAAACGTAACTGAATAGGAAAGATTTCAGAACTTATTCGTTTTAAAATTACTCTTTCCTTGATCCAGACAAATTCTTTCAATCCCCTACTTGCACGCCTTAAACTTACGATATTACCAAACTTGTAAAACTCTTGTGGCTCTTACAGATCCAACAATAATTCCGCATCGAGAACTGCAAGCGAGGCATGCACTGGATCAACTCGAAACCGATGGCCCTGTAATGTGCGAGGGTTCGATGGACGCTAATGATGGAGGCGGCGTTCCACCCCCCGCAGGAAGCGCCGCATCAAGCGTGCAGTCGCACGAGGCTGATGCTCCTTCGAGAAACGGGTAAGTAGGTGATGTGTGTGGCTTGGTGTCTCGGTTTTACTGTTGTTGTGCGGTTTCCATTCCCGCGTTGGAACTTCATTACCGTGCTTCTGCAGCTAAGTAGTCACTGGGTTAATGTTGAGCGATAAAGGATTAGGACTGGATTTCTCATTTAGAAACGAAGTTTTGTTATAAAGTAGCATCTTTTACCATGTCAATTTTAAACCATGGGAAAATTGGCCTCTTATCCTCCAATGTAGGAAATAAATGAACCCAAAACTTCTCAATAGCAATGTTTTAATAAAATCACTTTTATATGCCCACAAAAAAAATAAATACAGTGATATTTTTTTAAACCTGACATACGCCAACTTTTACTTCCAAATGCAAGGTTGTAGGAAATAACTTGACTGAGAAAAATTTACAAATATGCTTTCAGGTGTTGCCAGATTTCTTTAGTAGCTACTAAACAAATATTCTTTTAATGGCAACACCGTATTTTTTTAACATAATTTGACAAATCTTCAAATTCTAAATAAAAAATGTTATGTCACATTTCTTTATTGGAGTAGCCATTTTAGAACAATCAATTATCACAGGTCAACAAGGGTCAAGAAGCAGACACACTAATATGCATTCCCGAAGGATTTTGGTGCGCTGAATTCGAATCTGGTCGCAGAATTGTTCATCACGTCAGGTTTTTGAGACATCCTAACCTAAAAGTGCAAAAACACTGTTTTTCGTTATATTTGAGGTTATGTAGTAATGTCATATATTCTTTTAAAAAAATACATATAATTTAAAAGTACGGGGCTTCCTCTTTTGAATTGCAATCGACTGCTTGATGTCTAAGGGATCCTTAGTAGATTTTCGCATATTAAGAAACTGAGGAACTTAAAAATTTCGACGTGATATTTCAACGAAAAAAAAAATATTTGAGCAAACTCAACGGCATTCGATGGAGGGAGCCTTATACTTTTAGATTCAATGTATTAGTTTTTTGAAAAAGAATAGATGGTATTACTACGTAACCTCAAATATGACGAAAAACAGTGTTTTTTGCACTTTTAGGTTAGGATATCTCAAAAACCTGACGTGATAGAGCAATTCTGCTGCCAGATTCGAATTCAGCGCACCTAAATCCTTCGGAATTATATATTCAAGTTTCTGCTTCCAAAAAAAAGTTAAATTTTGTTATTATTCAACAAGTTTTTGCTAAAAGAAAAAATAATTTAAAATAACAATAAAAAAAACTCTTAAATTAATAAATAATAATTTTAAAAAAATGCTGAAACTGGTTCCCTTCTTGTAATCTACAATAATGAACTCTTTTAATAATATTGTGACTAACATTTTCCAACATATTGTACGTAAAGTTATGAATTTGTCGCCGAATCGATTTTCTCAGTTCATCACCAGAATTAGGAGCGGTCAGGTATATTTTGGTTTTTAAGACATCCCACAGGAAAAAGTCTAAAGGTGTCAGGTCAGGCGACCTAGCAAGCCACTCAACTGATCCCCTTCTTCCTATCTATCTTTCTGACAGCAGTACGTGAATATAATCCCACACATTTCGCGTAAAATGTGGTGGTGCCCCATCCTGTTGGAAGTAGAACAGCCCTCTTTCTGCTAACGGTAGTTCATCAAAAAACAACTCAAGTTCGTTTCTCAATAACTCTAAATAACGTTCAATGTCTAAATTTTGTTCTATGAAGATAGGTCCGATCACTTTTTTATTGTAGATTCCACACCATACCATGCCATACTCTTGGATTATTTTGTCTTCTTTTTTCTTCAGACCAACAAGGATTACTGTCAGACCAATATCTGCAATTTTCTATTGACCATGCGCATGCGGCTTAACTAAAAATTGGGTTGCCGTCACTTGTTGTCCAAAAACCAGTTACAAAATTCCAATCTTCTATCACAATCATCATAATGCAATTCTTGTACTGTATACTTCTCATTTTGTATGAATGACAATTGTTCTCTTGTAAAGAGGCCTACACCTTTGACTGAGAACAATTCTCAATTCCTCTTCTCTTGGAAAGAGGCTTTAGTGATACCTTTATATTGATAATGTCATACTGACCTTTTGAGCAATCAGGTTTTTGTCCCAGATTCAGCTATACGACAGCCCTCTCGAACATTACAGATAATATAATTAGGGCCACATAATATAGAGTGTTATTGGCTTTGTTGGAATGAATGGGATTAAATGACGAAAGCTTAAAATTATTTGAAAGCTATCCCACTGGACGCAGTTAGGTGGTTAAATTGGGCAATACTCAGTCCTAAAAGAGATTTTTATGTAAAGTGATTCCCCAAGGTTCCATCTTGGGGCCATGACGATTTAGTTTGTACCTTTTTAAAGCACTAAATTCATAGGTACGCAGATGATACCAAAATTTACTATTATTTTCCTAGAAATGATTACGATTAGCTAAACATATACAAAGTGTTCAAAGCAACATAGTTTGATGCTGAATCCTTTGAAATCGGTTAATATTTGGCAATAGAAATCTTAGAAATATGCTTAGAAAAACCTAAATTTTTATAAGCAGACAAATCAATATTCTCTATATGATTACTGAAAGTTAATTTTGAATCAAACTTTACACCAGAGATCAACAATATAATTTATTCTCTTTTTTCCTAGAATAAGACAATTATTGCATTTAGAAACATTCAACGGCAATTTACTTAGATCACACCAAGCATTGACAGCATCTAAACTATTTTGTATTGTTACGCATATCATTATTGACATATTGACATAGCAATTTCTTGTCGTCAGCATAGAGTAGACAGTTCATATTAACGTAGGCAACAATGTCATTAATAAATAAATAAAAAGCAAGGGATCCAAAATGGAACCCTGAGCAACACCAGATATTAACAGACTTAAAATCATGGTACTCTACCTACAGGGGGTCCGCAAATTTCACCGACAACGTGTAACTGCATATTGAGGACGATAAATAAAAACGATCTACGAAAAAAAGTTAAATAAATAATTTTTGGTTTTTGAGTTACAAGCCTTCAAAGTTGTCAAAAATAAAACTAACTTAATTAATAACTTTATAACCCTTTTGCCGATCGCATTAAAATTTGGCACATTTATTTGGACTATTACGTTGTATTATTTCGTAAAGCTTTAGTCAAATCGATATACTGGGTGATAGTTTTCTCCGGTTACCTCTCTTTTTTAGAGGACAAAACTTTTACAGTGGTCGTATTTTTTTTAAAAAGGGCAGCAATATTGAAAAGATCGTTTTATTAAGAAAAAAATTGTCTCTTGAGAAAATCGCCCACGGAAAGACATTCTTGAGAAAAATGGCATTATTTGCAGGTCTGTATGTTTCGGTTTGCATAGCAGTGTCACGGATTTAAAACTTTGAGTTCAGTAGGCGATGAAAAAAACAAGATGTTGATTGCTGTGGCTATCAGGTAATGTCATTATTGTCGTGTTTCTTTAGGATTCTCATCACTCCACACATGCAAATGATGAAGTGTCCGCAGTGTATCAAGACAATTAAATGTATGTAAAACTAATGTTCATAAAACTTTAAAAAAGCAACTTCTTCGGCCATTTCATTTAACTCCTGCTCAAGACTTGAAAATTTAGATCCCAACGCACGTTTACAATTTTGACGATGGTTGGTGAATGGCTTTGCAGAAGATAATAATTTGTTTCAAAAATTGTTTTGTACCGACGAATCTTGTTTTACCAGGAACGGAGTTGTAAATTTTCATAATTTGCATGTGTGGAATGATGAGAATCCTAAACAAACACGACTATAATGACATTACCTGATAACCATAGCAATCAACATCTTGTTTTTTTTTACAGACCTGTAAATAATGCCATTTTTCTCCTGTAGATTTTCTCAAGAGGCATTTTTTGTTTAAATAAAACGACCATTTCAACTTTTTTTTTTTCGTAGACGTATCGTCGTGAATATATGCAGTCAAACGTTGTCGGTGAAATTTGCGGACACCCTATATAAAAACCTATAGTTAAGATATGAAGCTAACATATTATTTATAATGGCAGAAAAACCATATTAATGAAGTTTATTTAATAGAATACGGTAGTCAAACCTGTTAAAGGCTATAAAAAAATTGTATAAATTACATCAACTTGTCTGTCCACCTCAGAGATAAGCTGTGTATCATTGAAGTTTGTGATTGTTGACTTTCCTTTAACAAAACCACGTTGAGCATCGTTAATACAATTTCTGACTCATATCATCATCATAAATTGAATTATACAAAGATTTTTCAAAAACCTTAGCCAGATTCTAACTGATAGTTATGGAAGGAGAGTTTTTAAAAGTTGGAGAGGCGCGAGATACTTCCGAAATGTCAGAAAATATGCCAGTTTCTATGTAAGTAAAAATGTGTTCATAGTTTACATAATTTACATATTTAATGAACATAGGCTTCGAATCTCTTGATGCCGTAAAATATCGCTTTTAGCAAAAGAGGAGACGTGTACACAGGGTGATTCACAACTTTTCCAAACAAATTTGGGAATAGATGCAGCATGAGAAATGGAATCAATATTTTGTAAAATCCTTATAGTTTCCGAGAAAAAAAATATTGAAGTTATAGTACATTCAACCACTACATAGCTGGACAACTGTAGTCTCTAGCGTCATTCGCCACGTGGCCTCAGCGACTCCGCATACTGAATTCGGATTTTGCAATCGTCGTTGCGATATTTACTTGCTATCTCTGGTGGATACAACAGGTTTTTAGTAGTTAGTGTCAAAAATGGGTACCTACTTTGTGTCAAAAACGGTTTGCGTGTACTCGGAGTTGATGGATATCGTTTTAATTTATGGTGAAGCATTTGTGTTATGGTGAAACAAGACAACATTTGTGTTAGTTCGTAGAAACTGAGTACAACGGACCCAAAGGATAAAATTTTGAACAATTGTTGTAACATCGGGTATGTCAAATGATTTTATTATTTAAAAACACAAATTAATTTTATTAATTAATAAAGGCAAAAGCAGTTGAATTTGCCGATATAAAATAGATGCGATAAAACTCTATTTACATATTTCTTTCCTTGCGAAAGTTTTTGTCCGTTTTTATCACACCGCCATGCCGGTCGTATTGTGCGAGGTCAGGTTTTACAGTGGACCAGTTTCCACTGCCGTGCAGAAGTGTATTTTTAAATCATTTTCGAACTGCCCTTTTTGATTTTTTCTTTACAAAATTGTATTTGTAAGGGTCCCTTGTACATCCAGATTTTTTTTTTTGGATAAGTTCTGAATCACCCTGTATAATCGGAACCAAAATGAGCTACATTATGTGAGTCTTATGATCTAGGGGGTACATAAGCACCTTTAAAAAACAAAGCAAAAGCATTGACAATATCTTGCAGATAATTTTCTTTTGCATCAAAGTATGTCACAGACTGAGGTTTCAAAGAGCTTTGTTTACAATAATTAGAGACCAAAATATTTTTGTATTGGAATTTAACCATTTTGAAGTGCCAATAAGTATTTTTTGTGTAATGTATTAATTTCTCATTTTAATAAATAGCTTGAATATATTTTCATAAACAGAATTTACTTTTTTTCACTTAAACAAAAGCTTTTTGAAGCATAGAACGTTAGAAATCAAGTAGTACACACTCACATGAAAAATAAAAACAAATGTTCTTACTTTCTGATAACAAATAGCTGACAGAACCGTTAACGACCGGGGGAAGGGGTTGACGAACTAATTTTATACACGTTCATCCATTGCGTGAAGCTTTTCTCAGAACTGCTGAAATTCAAAATGTGCTTGCAGTATGATAAGATCACCACGTCGAGATAATATTGTACCATTAATTAAATTAGACATGTTGATGTGGGTAGCGATACATCCAAGAGGGCTTAATTGTCATACGTACACATAGGTTTTATTAATTTTCGTTAGTTTCTGGAACAATGCTGCAAAAGTTGCCCTAGAGAAGAAGTAGGTTATGCTAAATGATTTGATATGACACTCATTCAATATACTGTTTGACAGCGTAACTTATGCAGGATATTCCAAAATAACATGTAAATATTTCAAGAGGCGATTGCTAGCGTGGTTTTATGAAAAAAACTTCCATGACGAAAATCGTATTTAAGATAACGGAAAATTAGAGTAATGTGAAGAGGTTTTAGCAATTTCAAAGCGTATCCATTTTAGGTACTGTTCAAGGAAATGAATTTTCCTGACGAATAGGTACAACTTTTTTAATAGGAACCTTTAGATTTTAATGTTTAATAAACATGGTCATTGTACAGCTGTGGAATATAAAACGTTTCCAACCGAAACTGCGTACGGACGTTTAAAAATACAGATTTTATTAATTCGTGCTTTAAACGTTTTAGGTTTGATACTTTTTTGTCCACAATTGTACCTAGAAGAGCATCGATCTGAAACAAATGAAATATTAAAAGATTAACGATGTTTACTTGTTACAGCAACCTATTTCGATTTTGCATAAATAACATTAAAAATATAAAAATATGTTTTTATTTAACGAAATCGTTTTACTTGTCGTTTGTTATTAAAACTTTACGCTTATTGTTCAATTATCCTAATAAAATAAGGCAAAAATAGGTGACTATTTAACCTTTCTCGTAATTAATTTTAACTTTAAATTGTCGTTAATGCAAATTCACTAAACTGCGTCATTAAGACACTGTGTTTACATACCAATTAATGCCAGTATTTAAGCTTTCTGTTTATTATAAATCCCGACTGGAAATTGCAAATAAAATGGTAATTTCAATGTAAATATTCCGGAAACTATTAAACGTACATGTGTTGTTATTATGATCGTAACATTAGTATATTGCGCCTATAATGTTGTGCCTATAATTTGGAAAATGATATTCGTGACTCCAACTGAAAATTTCATTCCATCATTTATGTAACGATCGAAATTATAGAGAAATATACAGGATGAATCGTAAATGTATACTGTATATTTTAACTGCAGAGATATTATTTTTTTAATTCGTCCCTGAACAGTTTGAGAACTGCTGGCCTCTTGAAAGGTGCGTAGCAAAGAATGGCGAACTTTATAGAATAGGACCTAAATCTTTTCACTGTGATGGATTCTAATTATAAAAAAATAAATTAATTTGTTTGAATTTAACTTATTATCATGCATGTCTTTTGCTAAACAAATTCATATTTAATTTTCACTGTAGATCATCTGTGGTGATACTGTTTATCGTCAAATAATAAATATTGTGAACACTATTAATTTTCAACTTTCCCGCTTGCTATAAATAAATGTTAAATTAATGTGAGAGGTATTCTAAAGATAACAATTTGTAATAAATATGCTGCTCTAAATCTGCCATATATTACATTACCCAACCTGTAACATTTGCTTTGCAATTGCTGGGACATGGGAAATAAAAAACAATATCCATAAAGGAACATAAATAATACTTAATTTAATTCAGGGTACGGCTATCTAACAAGAGATATAGAAAGAAAATACATAATAACAAAAGCATTTTTTTTATTTCGTATCAACTCCAGTATTTTTCAACATATAAGTACGTTTTTTTCTAGAATAAGTAGATTTATATATACATATACCCTTTGTAAAATATTTTTTTTGTTTAAGTGTGCATTTTTATTAATTTCTTATAAAAATTATAAACAGGGTCGAAAAGTCCCCATGGTTCATCGGCCGTTACGTGAGAGCGATAAAGAAAGTCATAGAAATCCGTGCGATAGAAAAAGATGGCTATAATGAAAACGTCTAATAGTCACCGCCCATTTCGCCCTTCCACAAATAAGATCCACTTCTTATTTGTGGAAGGGCGAAATGGGCGGTAACTATTAGACGTCTTCATTATAGCCATCTTTCTCTATCGCACGGATTTCTATGACTTACTTTATCGCTCTCACGTAACGGCTGATGAACCATGAGGACTTTCCGACCCTGAATAATACAAACTGGGACATCAGACACGGTATGTACATTATCTACAAAATAGGGATATCCTTAGGATAAATGTCTATTCAATAACCATTGGTGGATATTCCAGAAATGTTTAGAAAAAAGGACGTTTATTGAACTTCTAACATCCCTAAACGGATGTTCATTGTACGTCCTAATATCAGTTAGTGGACGTCTTAAAAACGTCTTTGTGCTACATGGACAACCCTAATTTGTAATATAGAATATTCTAAACGATTGGAAGCAAATTAAATGACTTTTCATGAATGAATTTCCATGTACTTGTATGAACGTGACGTTACAATGTACACCTTCAGAGTATTGGCTGCTTAGGTTTATATTGCTTCCAAAATAATCGAAATTGTTACATCAAAATATTTCACATACTTAACATAAAAATTAGGTCACATAATAAAAATACCCAGTACGGCAGTTGTAACAGCTTGTTTTATACAGGGTGTATCTTAAGTGATGACTTTAATTTCAAGGGGTGATTCCTTGTCATATTTTAAGCAAAAAAGTGCATATGAACATCGGTCCGCAAGTGCTTCGTTACCGAGATACAGGGTGTCAAAGTTGGGAAAATAAATCGCATTTTCTTAAATATCTTTCGACTGATTCGAAATAATTTAATGAAATTTCATACACGGGGGTTTTTTGGAATGACAAATTCAAAGCTGTGGTCAATTTAGGTGTATTTTTTTGAGGGCGCCAATAATGAAGTAGCTAGGAGCAACCGTTTCCATGAAAAACGCATTTAAACTTACTTGAGCTGGAAATATCATAAAAATTGAATTAAATCAAATGCTCAAAATGAGAACCGCCACTGTCAATACAAGCATGTAATCTTCTGCTCATCGACTGTCGCACACGTTCCAAAATTCCTGGAGTGTTGCGTATGACATTACAAGAATTTACAATTCTGTTTCTTAAATCATTTTCATCTACAACTGGCGTTGCATAAACAAGCGACTTCAGATGTCCCCAAAAGAAATAGTCCAGAGGATTTAGGTCTGGAGATCGTGCTGGCCACGGCTGAGGTCCTCCCCGACCTATCCATCGCTGAGCAAAAGTGTCATTAAGATGTTGGCGAGCAGCAAGACTGAAATGAGCAGGTGCCCCGTCGTGCATAAACCACATGTCATTTCTGGTTGCTAGTAGTACATCTTCTAACAGACCAGGCAATGTTTCAGCTAGAAACTGTCTGTAAGTCTCACCATTCAGTCGAGGAGGAAGAAAATGCGGTCCGATGACATGATCACCAATAACTCCGGCCCACACATTCACCGAAAACTGCTGCTGAAATCCACGTTCTCCAATAACATGGGGATTTTCATAGTTCCAAAAATGATTATTGTGGAAGTTTATGATGGCATCCCGTGAAAAAGTTGCCTCATCTGTGAACAGAATTTT